TAGTCAAAAGATGATCACAAATCAATTTCCAACCAAAATGTTGTGCTCCGGTGTTTTAGTCTCATATTGAGACCTATTTTTGGCATAGAAAGTGATCGAATTAGAGAATGATGTCTGAATCAAAGTTTTAGCTAGATGAGTTAGCTTTCCAACGCATTTTGAATCGCCTTAATCGGATATCGGAATACAAAGTTATGATAAAAATAATGAAGGAAGGTGCAGCTGCCTGTTTAAAACAAGAAATTCCGTTACATAATCCGTTAAAACAACAAATTCTGTTAGTTTTTCCGTTAAAACAAGAAATTCCGTTATATAACCACTTTTAATATATAGAAGATATATCACAATTTTAGAGGGTGTTTGGTGTAAATTAAAATTATATTTTTAGTAGACCGTGATAGAAGTTTTTGAAATGTGTGGTTGAAAAGTTGTAGGACTCATGAAAGATGTGGTTAATATTGATTATTTGAATTTGACTTGGATTAAAATCAAATTTTAATCCGTACTAAACATGGGCTTAATCCTGCCTTTAACAAAATCAATTACCTCAACTATTTAAAAATAATAATATTAGTATTTCAAAAATATTATTCATATCATTCATTTTATATATAAAACGTGCTATGCACATGCTTACTACTAGCCAAATAAAATGCGATGGTGACCCAATAAAGTACACTATGGAGGAAGGTGGCAACCACAGCCCCAGCCCGAGCTTGGGCGTGCGGTGCGGGCATTTGGTCGCTAGGGGCATATTGTTGGCGCACATTGTAACGCTGTGCATACCATAATCAATTTTGGTGGGGGCGAATTACGCTTTAAGAAAAGCAACATTGTAACGCACCTTTAATTTTCAGAAATCAGGCAGAATTTTTTCCATAGGCAAATCCCAATTTACACCCATACAGACTGGGAGTAATAGTATGAAGTACAAAAAATTTCAAATAATAGGACTCCACATGTTACACTCCAGTATTTTAATAGAAAACAGATATAGGAGCAACATTATCCACGGTAAAGTGAAAACCCGGAAAAAAAGCTACAAAAATAAGCTGTAACTAAGAACTAATAATGGCTGAAGTTAAGAACATAAAAAGTAATGGGGACCACATTAACTGGTACAAAATCCAGTACCAGCACTCGGGTTGACAGTCCAAGGTGCTTATTTGACGGGGTTTTTCCTGTTGGGTTCAAAAACAAACTTGATCAAGGACTCCTTGATTGACAGCAACTCTGGGAACTCTTTCTTCAACTTGGAGGCATCCATTTCATTATTACTTCTAGGAGCAACTATCACCTTAGCTTGCTCTTCAAGTGTGAAGTTAGCCCATTTAAAATCCGGATCAATATATTGTTTGTACATCTCCAAAACCTCATTATGGCTGACGACGCCAGGGTTTGTGAAGTTCCATATGCCTCTCAGGTTCCGCTTTGCCATCTCAATTGAAATAGGAAGCAGCTCGTCCAAGATGGTCACACTGTTGGGAATATTGACAACCTTATTGTACCGAGAAATCTTAGTAATGAAATTGCGTGGGTTGTTCAGGTCTGAAGATATAGGCATTCGAACTCTGAGCGTGCAAACATTGTCGTATTCTTTCAGTAGTTCTTCCACCTGATTAGCAAGACAAATAGAGCATATATCCATGCTTATTCAAATATAAACAGAAAAAACACACATAATTCTTATGCAAGAAAAATTTCACAGGGAAAGGGGGAGTTACCATGGCCTTGGTCTTAGAATAGAAAGAACCGATGAAATTGGGTTTATCTTCCTCCTTAAATCCAATCCCAGAGCCTTCAGGGTGTGTGGCATTGTATTCAAATATACAGCCAGTGGCAAAGTTAATCATCAAGAGCCCATGTTCTCTGCATACATCTGCTAAGTTTAGTGTACCAGCAACATTGGTACGAATTGTTTCTGTTTTGTGACTTTCACACCAATCAACATTAGGTCTACCAGTCACACCAGCAGCATTAAACACGTGCGTTGGCTTAACAGCTAGAATGTCTGCCAAAAGCTGTGAGCGATCCTCCAGGCGTCCCTTTCCAAACTCATATGGAATTCCCTGTTTCTCACATAACTTTCCAAGGAAACCACCAATCCATCCAGTCCTACCAAAGATCAAGAACTTTAAGGGTGGTTTTTGAGATGTACTATTGCTCTTAGAAGCAGGAACCAACATTCGGGTTTGATTAGATTTGCCTGAAAACTCAGGCTTCCCAGAATCGGATTTCTCAGCTCCGTCAACATTTCGTTCTATTCCACCAGGCATCATAAGCATTCTTGGATGAGGAAGCAGTGCTCCAGACACATCACCCCACCAACCAGGGTTGCTGATATACCATTCCATGGTCTTTTTCAACCCTTCTTCCCAAGTGGTCCTCTCAGTCCAACCCAAATTCTTCAACTTCTGATCATCAAGGAAGTATCTTTGATCATTAAATGGTCTATTGTCAACAAATTCAATGCTTTTGTCTGGATCCATGTTAAACAGTTTGCATATATCTTTGGCAACATCAATCACTCTCCTTTCCTTCTTTGTTCCAATGTTGTAAACATGACCAACTTCTCCCTTGTGAAGAACGACTTCAAATGCCTCTGCAACATCCTCACAATAAAGATAACTTCGCACATTAGAACCATCCCCGTGAATTGGAAGGGGCTTCCCTCTCATAGCTAAAAGAATGAATTTTGGAATTAACTTTTCGGGGAACTGATTGGGACCATAAACATTATTTCCTCGGGTGGTAATCACAGGCAATCCATAAGATCTCCCATAAGCCATAACAAGCATTTCAGCCCCAGCTTTTGTGGCTGAATATGGGTTTGTGGGCAGCAGTTGTGAGGCTTCATGATTTCCTACTACAGCATCCTCGTCAGTCTCTCCATATACTTCATCTGTGCTTACATGGATAAACCTTTTGATCTGGCCGGTGACCTTGCAGGCTTCTAATAGGACATGGGTGCCATAAATGTTATTCTTGGTGAACTCAAAGCTGTTACCAAAAGAATTATCGACATGGGTCTGGGCAGCAAAGTGCATTATCGTGTCAATAGACTCGGCGATGAGAAGATAGTTAACAAGATCAGCACTGCCAATGTCCCCCTTCACAAACTTGAAGTTAGGTGACGAATTTGAGGGAAGGAGGTTCTTAAGATTGGAACAGTAATCAAGTTTGTCTAAAACGACAATCTTGTAGTCAGGGTAGTTTCGAATGAGCCTATTTGCAACATGAGAAGCAATAAATCCAGCAGCCCCGGTAATCAGAATATTCTTGGGTGTGTGCGTCGTCATGATATCTACAAAAAATAATAATAACTTCATAATATACAGAACAGCATAGAGTAAAATATGACTTTACATGTAAACCACTTGACAACACGATAGATAACACAAGGTCAACTTTTAATGGATAATATCAAAACAGCAAACATCACAAACTAGAGAATGAATTTTAACGCTCCCTTTAGTGTTTTCCATTGAAATTGCACAAATATTTGCCATGATCATCTCATTGATAAAAAGGGCAACTTTTTACATTTCTTTCAAGTTTCAAAAACAGTATGATTAAGCCTGTGTAAGCCAAACTTTATACATCGCGCAGTAGGGGTAATCATAGTACTACAAAGGATTTAGCACCAATAACTCGGTCAAATGAGATAATAATATCAACTCCAAATTTGCTCCAGTTATTAATTAATCTCAAACAACGATTAATCAAACTATATAAAGCATCCACTTACAAAGTTTCAATTGAAATAGACAATATTACCAGATCCAATCAGGAATGAATAAAATCAAAACTTCCCATTACTCATCAGCAATTCATTAACTTCAATTACCTATTAAATACATCAGTACAACGCATGTATAAACAAATAGATACACGTACATAAGTATAGATCCGCGTGCCCACTTGATGAAACTAGGTCAGTGATAATGAAGAGCACCTTATTAACAACAGATCTAAAGAAATTAAAAAAAACCCAAATCACAAAACTAAAAATAAGATAGAAACAAATAAAAAAAATCCAAAGGGATTTGTGCATCAACTTACACTTGATTTTCAATCAGGATCCGCCAAACACACAGAATCCAATGAAAAGGGAAGAGAACAATAATTCAAAAGCCCCCCTGAAAGAAAATTTAGAGAGAGATTGTTATGAAGCGATGAGAATCAATCACCTTCCTCTGTATAATACACCAATCAATTCATCCTAATTTATCGTTTTCTTTCCCTTAAAATTTCTTGGGTTTTTTGTTTGTATAAAATAGGAACTCAATTGCGATACACAACATAATAATGGACACACGTATAGATACAACAATAACGAGTGAGACGCCAGGCGGCCCCTTTTTGTGTGGTAGGTGCCGAGAAAGTGGGGTTGGGGGGTTAGAAATGATTGACGAGTAGGTGGAGGAGGAGGCACGAGGTGACGAGGGTGTTAGATATAGGCTAGCTTCACATTTATTATTTGTATAATTCCCAATTACGTAGGTGGAGTTTTTTTTTTCCTCTTATCCCAAATATATACGCATATTTTTTAATTTGGAATATTTTATCGTATCCTTTTACCAATATACTCTTATTAAATTTTTCCCACTTAATATGCCAATTTTTTGAAATCATTCAAATACACACATTTCACACACTTCTTGAAAACATGGAACAACTCTTATTTCTTCTTCAAATTCTTTATTAGTTCCAACAATAATTTAGTTTTACATACTTAAAATTAAATAGGGATATACTAGGAAAGATCTTGACAAAAATTAATTTTTCAATGACATTAAAGAAGTTTTCTTAATCCGTGTGAAAAATGAAACAAGTTTATATAATTGGAACGAATGGAGTATAATTTAACATATTCATTCTTAAGAACGTGTCGTTTTATGTTGATTTTATTATTAATAGTTAGCAATTATTAGTAATCATTTTACGTCAACCTTATTATTAGGGACATTAATAAATGAAAAACTAATAACAATCCAATGTTTCAAATAATAAACTGTCACGATTAATGACAAATATTGATTATGAATAGCAAAAGCTAATGACAACTTAATGCCTCAAGTAATAAGCTGTCACAACAACTGATAGTAGTTGGCTATGAATAATATTATTCTAATACAATGTAATACATGAATCTAGTCTTGTGCACAGTTTTGAATAATAGAAAGAAGTGAATAACCCTCTTTTCGATTTTTAACTCTCCCAATATTTATCATAGTTCGCCTTTACAAGTGAAGAACTTGTATCGTTTGAGACAAACTTCTTACAATCGAGTAGTAAAAATTAATTGTATATGTCGTAAAAGTAACCAAACATTTTATTATAGTGATTTGAAGTTGCGGAAGCACAATATCAAAGATTGCGATAAGGCGTCACAACTCGATCGCACACCCCTCCAAACCCATCTATAATATACTAAATATCGCATCGAATGAGAATCATTTTCTGGACAATTTTAGCCCTACTACAATTTAATTATTTCAATAGTACATTATTTTTCGTTTTTCAATATACATTTAATTGAATATTAATTATTAAACATGCACACAAATAAATAATTGAATCGTATTGAAAACAATCAAATTGATTCATGAACATGCAATTTAATTAATTTGAATCAATAAATATAGAAAAAGAATAATGTATATACATTTAAACAAAGGGGGTGTAAGTGAACCAACATGAAATTTAATTAATTTGAATTAATAGATATAGAAAAATAATAATTGATATACATTTAAACAAAGAAGGTGTACATGAACCAACATGGAATTTAATTAATTTGAATCAATAAGTATAGAAAAAGAATAATTTATATACATTTAGACAAATGGCGTTATATCATAGATAAAATGAATAATATAAATTAAATAAATGTACATGAACTTGAATAATTTATTTACTCCTATAATAATTGAATAGTTTCCAAATTATATGATCTTTAATAATTTATATACTCATAGAATAATTTATGATAAAATGAATAATCTTGAAAATAAATACGTGTTCATAAACTTGAATAATTTATTTACTCCTAAA